CTCCAAAGAAAGTAAGCAAAAAATTCAATTATTACTGATACTATTTTAATAAGCGCTTGTTTGCAATGAAGTAGTCAGGGGGAGTCAGTCAAGTATGAAAATCATTCAAAACCAAATACAGTTTAAGGAACTGACTATGAATATTCATTATTTCAAGGCCGTTTTGCACCTGATGCTCGTTCAATGAGAACAGTTGCATTAAGTAAAGTAGATTATGAACAAAATAAATGCTCCCAATTCAGGTCGATTTAATCTGGCAATCGTTTTCGACAATTTTCTGCGGTTTTCTACACGTCTAGTTTATTTATTTTCTTCGGTTATGCAACAGTTTATGGCATTTCTGCAAATACGCGAAACCTTCCGCAATAACAGTCATGCATTGTCAAGGTCGGTAATTTATGTTGTTCTTGTTACTCGATTCACTTAAACTACGAATGTTAACACCTCTTTGAGCAATTAACGTCATAGTGTCTACATGTGATTAATTAGTTGTTTTGATTTGATTTAATGTGATGTAATTTTTGAGGATTAATCGAGTGTTGATTACCATTAATAGTATGTAAAAGGATAATTGTTAAAATATATCTTAAAATTAATTGAATATTGCAAAGTTTGCCTTTCACATAGAAAAGTCGATAAAAGTGTTGCCTACGTGCGCATGTTAACGCAAAATGCTTCATTACTTAACAGAGATTACTTTTATTTCCAATCTAATAGGAATCGAAATTACTAGCTTGTTTTCCTTGATTGTTGATTTGCCTAATTTCCACGACTAATATTTGCATACTTCATTCTATTAGCGCCACATATTTGCCTACATGTTTTACAGATCAAAAGCCTTTGGCAGGTCCGGACGCACAGCGCGAAACTAAACACTGCGCTGATTAAATTAAATTTCGGATTTTGCTAATAATCATTTGATTCACCCTACAAAAAATACTTATTGTGGTAGTTTTTGTTTCCGAAATCAACTATAGAGCGAGCGGCGGTGGATGCAAAACAACATAAATCGAATCGAATATCAGGAAAATGTCGGTTTAAACATTCACTGGCGTTTATATAAAAATAATCACTAAGCTCGAACCAAGTCATTAATTAACAATTAGACACAAAAAAACATTTTTTTGATTGAAGGACGGCATAGAAGGAGGGGTGACTCTTAGAAAATAAACATTATTAAGTTTATTAAATTACTCAAAGTGGTTTGTTTAAACGTGGTTAACGTTCAAGCAAACGTTCAAAATTGTAATTGTTCAAAAATACTCAATTTAAAAAACACACAACTACTCCTATTTGCTGATGAGATATCTGCAATGCAAAACTAAACTACTCTCTATAATGTTAATATGCTACCTTTTCCTTCGACAGGTTTACTGTACTTTTTCAGTTTCTCAAGAGGAATGCAATCATATCAATGTCGCAGTATTTTGCAGAACCTCCAAAGTTACAATCCGAAAAAATAATTATTATTAGTCGTCAACATCAAAACCCTTTTTTCTATGCACGTTTAAAATCACTTTGGCTTTTGTTGGGTCTGGGGCAAAAACACAATCTGCTTCATTATAAAATGTCAGTAATTTCCCACTTTTACATTGCAAAATTAATTAATTTAGGCAGGTGCTTATTATTAAAATTTAGTGTAAAAAAAGCGATTATTTACAATTAACCGCTCAAATTTTGAGGCATAATAATCAACTTTTCAGCTTTTAACTAAGACCTACTTAAAAGAATCTTTGCCACTCGAAAGTTTTTACATTAACATTCCTGCAGCATCACATTACAAGCCTCTTAGCACATGGCCATTATTTTAATTTCGATTGATATTAATCAGCATGTTAAATACTCCTCCGGTAAAAGATTTATCAGATGAATCAGCCACCTTCGTTTCGTGTAGGAAAGCTTAGATAATTTTTTTTTGGACAAGATGTAAATTTATAGGCATAAGGCTGAATGGTAATTTACGGAATTGCAAAAACTACAATACCAATTCCAAGTCTTTGAAAGGATCCACGCGGAGAATAATCGACTATTTATGCATGCAGCATAAAGATAATAATTTTTCCCAACTGGCATCATAAGTGAAACGTGACTTTGATGGAATTTATCAGAGATTAAATCGAGCAGAAAACGAATCTAAACAACTTCTGCGTTTAACCATTCGCTAACAAGGGTTGGCTCATAATAATTCGAAAGTAAATACAATACTAAACCATATAATCTTTGCATTTTTGCCATGCACGAAATTTACATTTTGAAAGTTTTTATATTAATCGACAGCTAAGTGTGTAGGTGCTTTAATAAGCCAACAAGTATGTTCACGAGCAATTAAGCGCAATTAAACAATGCTAACGGGATGAATGAAATAGAATTGCGACAATATGAATAGAATGGGGTTTTCAAATGCAACACATTGTATATATTTGCAAACCGAAGATTCCTCTTACTTGCCTAGATACGAGTACGATGAGGTTTTTTAAAATAAAATCAATATTTAATTTAATCTTTTTCATGATTTTTTCCTGAGATAAAATGCCGAACGGAAAGAAACCAGTGCATTATTCATTTAACGAACGTTTTCAATTCACAGACCAAAACTGTAAAAAGCAAACAGAAAAACATCTTTAAATGCATTTTATTTAAATTCAGATACAGCCTTTCTCTTTTAAAAATCCAATTTTAAAACTGCACATTGTGTAGAACATTCATGACCTGATTAAAGCGAGAACGCTGCCTGATCACGCATGGAAAACCCTTAGTAAAAAGTAATTGTTTTACATATTTTTTAAATTCCAATTTATCTCACCTGCTGAATCTGCTGGCGTGTTATTTGATAGTAATTAATTAAGTTGAAAACCCAAAATAAAAAAAGCTCCCAACTCGTCAAGTCTATGCATGCATGGATTTTCTTAGAACCAAAGAACCGTTTATCGCTGCCGGATGAAAAAGCAAAAATAGGTTTATTTTAGCATAAGCGTTTACGCTCATCTATTAGTTTATTAGCGTCCACGTTTACTTTCTTTATCGCGCAGTAATTGCGACAAAGAAGAATAAGTAGGTAATTGAAAATTTTTATAGCCGACAAACGCAAAAAGTGCTGTATCGGAGATTAGTTTTACGTTCTTGAAATTCGCTTGCAATTTATCACAATCATTGATGCACTGCAAGTGAGTTAAGTGACTTTTGTGGTGTTCATTAAATGTTTAAACTGAAATATTTTCATCTGGTTTATTTGCCACAGAAGGGATTCTAAGCAGTTGGACAAATTTTATAAATTAGCCCAAATTCGCTGATATTAAAGCAGATAATTTGTAGTTTTGGGACTAGAGATTTCTTGCAGGATAAAAGTTTACATTGCTTTTAAACTTGGTGCAAATACAGCTTGGGGGGCTGACAGTTTGCTGTAAAGCAAGAATCGTCTAAATTTGTGCATTCAGAAGCTGCGAGTTTTTTTAAGTCTGCTAGTTCGCTTGGTAAAAATGCAATTGAGTTCTAAGTTAATCACAAACAGACATAATTCGCCATTGATGCTCTATGTCCAATAAAGTACTGTTTCGCATAAACCGGTTTATTTGCTGTATTGTTGGGTTCTGCGATTTAACCGAGTCCTTTTCAATATTTCCGGATTATTCCGTATTACGTTCGTTTCATTTTAATTCCTACATTAAAATGCTTATTGGATCGGAAGAGGCACAAGTTTAACTTTTTGCGGCTCTCCAAAAAATCTAATGGCGTTAAGTCGGGAGATCTGCAGGCAGGGCCAATATTTTCCTAGGCTTCTGGCCCACACAAAACGGAATAAATAAAAAAATCACACCTAGACAACATAAGTTGACTCCATCAATCAAGAAAAAATGATCTAGTTTTGGCATAAAGATTTATCAAAATATGAGTGTTGCTTAGAAATTAATCCAAAGCAATTATACAAGATTTAATGACAATGTTAAAACCAAATTTCGAAAATTTTCAAGTTCAAGAGCTGAGCATGCATTAGATATTTTCCAAACATGCACAAAAATTGAACATAAAAATTTCAAGTTCCTGTGGCAAAAACATAAGCGCCTTAAAAAAAAACAAAGATTTTTTACGCATCTATATTTTATTTGGTTTCCTAATATTCTCAACTACATACACTTTCTGGTTATTGTACTTATTAATATAGTCATTAAACTATTATTTTCAAAACTCGAACCAGACATAGCATTTGAATTAACCTTTTGCTTAGAACATATTAAGTAAATACTATTTATTGCCAATAATTACAAGCACCTACTTACATACTTACCTAGAAAGCTCAAACCTTCAGGCCGTTCTGCAAAAACATTACTAATGACCACCAGAAGAATTCATATTTATTGCAGCATTTGCAGCCATCATGGGACTTGATTGGACTGAATTGAAAAAACCTGATTTATTTATTGATGTTTAATTTTTAAACTTATAATTTACGCTTGTGCTCCGTATTTTAATGCAAAACTGGGCGGTTTCACCTAAAACTAGTCTCATTCTGACAAAATTTCGAAAATTCCGATATATATAAATCGATAATAAATTAATGTGCGTAGTTCAAGTTGTTAATCTTGACCATTGTAGGAACAAGAACGGAAAATCTTGACTAGAGCAGAGGTCGCGACCCAGAACACAAAGTTTCTCTCCTTTTAAAGCACAATACACAAAAAGGAATAACGCGGCCTTAAAGCAAATGTTTTCCAATTATTGTGTTGTTTTCGACTTCAGTTGGTGGATTTTGTTGTTGAAGCAATAAAACCGTACTACACTTCACTATTGGTCTAACAATATTTAATAGAACTTTTATTTACCTTGCACTAGTTTAGTTCTGATAAGCTTAACATAAAAATGAATTTATGTTAAAGTACAGTAAGTTAGACTTCCTTGTCCATATTGAGCTTTAATCTTATATTCCTAAACGAGAAGCCACATAAAATAATCCCAGTAGTTTCACTGTGAGATCACGAATAACATATTCTTTTAATTGCTTTCAGGTTCGTATCAATTTGTCTTCGGGAGAGCTTCCAAAGTGTTGTTACCAATAAATCGTAAACGCCGCCAGCTAAATTCTAATTTATCAATCCTAACTAGGTAAGTAGTTGGACGTATTGACTAAAAATTAATTCACTTTTGACGGTGAAAGTAAAAAACGTTATTTTTCAATTAGGTTTTTAGAGCCCGTTGATAAATTAAGTACCTACGTTTCCTTTGCAGGCCGTGTTTTGATTTATTTGTCTATGCTTAATGTTCCCAGGACAGTGATTTATTTCGCGAAAAGTCGAAATGGATTTGAAAATGGAATTTCGAGGATCTAAACTAGTTTCGATTTTTTATATTTAGGAAAATAAGTCCTGTAATAGCGACTTCGCCTAAAATGCTCGAGCTTTAAGGCAAAATTAATGAAAGTTTGGAAAGCAGCTGCAGTAAAGTATTTGCATAGAAAGAGCTTTCATAACATTTATGAGTTTTGAGCGAAAATGTCGCATATTACGACCGATAATGTTCAAATCAAACAAGTTCTCCGACTTGTGCGAGTTTCCAACCAGATCGTACTGAGCGATTGCTCTCACCCGGAAGTTTGCAGCGGCAATGTCTGAAAATTTTAGGAAAGCAACAACCCTAGCATGAAATCATTAATTAACTAAAATCATAACATTCACGCCAAATGTGGCAAGTACGCTATGCAAATGACAAAACACGCTGATTAATCGCAATATCTGATACCAAAATTAATAAATTTCCTAATAAGCAGTCGCAAAACCTTACAGCTCAGTGACCAATAAAATATTTTGATCAAACTCCCACATCGCACTTTCACCATGTATGCGGTTGATAATACTTATTTATAATATGGTGTAATGCATAAACGACTTTTATTATTTTGATTTATCACAGTGGGTTGTCTCATTTTATTGGTTACAATAATTATTGCACTTTACCTAGTTGGGACAATAGGTGGTTGCCCAATTATATTAGTCACAATTGGATTAATGATCTGCTAAATGTACCTAGTTTGAAAGTGGTGATTTGAATATGTATGTAATTTAAAAAAAAGTTTTTGTATCGTCTTATTTACATCTTAAAGGGTTTTTGCCACTCATTTGCCTTGCACGTAGCCTTAATTGAAAATACATCAGCATAACATCGCGATTATAATTTGCATTTCAAAAGTATGAAAAACTGAACGTATTTGCATAAGACCTGGCAAGGATCTTGCATACTTACATGTGTTCACAGTTAACTAACTGTAAATTATTTATTCACGCATTAGTCGATAAGTTTTTCTAATTGTATTGATATGCAATTTTTTCCGCATCTTAGTAGTGTATTAGACCGTTCACACCATCTAATAGTAACAAGTAGACATTGATAGATTTCGACTGGCTTTATGAAGGCAACAGTAATGAAACCAGTTTTTCTATTTGCACAGAAGCCTTTTAACAAGGGCTTAAAATATCATTTTCTTCCCTATCTATCCTTATATCAAATGAAACTTACACGTACATATCTACGATAAGGAATGTATCAAAGCGTAGCTAACTATATAGTTGCGCTTGGATAATATTTCCTACCCAAGCATGGCCACAACATAATATTATATCAAACATTAATATATCAATACCTTGGACTTGTGAATTTATAATAAAAACAGGTAAAATTATGGCTGCAGAAAATTAATTTAATTTGTAAAAAGGAGAATCGTCGGATTATTTTGAAGTTTATGCTATTTGGAAATAAGTTTTATGTCAGCAAAATGAAAGTGAAAAGATATTTCTATTGCCAGCTTGATCAATAAAATTGTATTATTGTGAGCTTTAAAAAACCCTTAAAGCTTGAACATTGGAAGTGATTAAACAATGGAATTTTAACCACAAGTTGTTTGAGATTTTTTGCGTTTTAATATCAATTTTTGGAACATTTATAATCTGATGCCTCTTTAGAGTTGCCTGGAAATATCTGGTTTAATTTTGTAACTTCTCTTTTGTCTTTCAAGTTTCCAGTGGCCAGTAACTAATGTTTTTAAGATAATCCTCCGAAATTGATATCTTGCTCAAAAGTGCTTGATCATTTTTAAATGTAGCAATTTAATAAATCAACTTCTTCATTAAATTGATTTTGATTCTTTTTTTTCAATTGCTGTAAAAAAGTTTTGTTTGACTTTCGAAAGTGGATTGTGAATTGGTAAATTTTTTAAAAAATATATGGCTGCAGACACAAGAGTCAGAAATTGCTAAAAGACTTTCTCACTATTCTCTTCTTTTAAAATTAAGGCAACTAAAGAAAAATTGCGCGCTTGAAATATTCCGAAAAAAGAGAAAATAATAAGTTCTGAATTCGAGACGAGAAATAAATAGAAACAATAATGCAGTCGACACTCCAAGAAAATGATAGAGGATTCAAAAAAATCAACAGCAAGAAATCATGGTAAGTAAAGAAGCAATTAAATCATCGATCTCATGAATACAAGACTGAAACGCTAAACAAGCTTTACAGAACAGACTTAGTTCAATAGAAACATGAGGAAAAGAAGCAAAATGCCGACACACAGAATAAATAAAAGTCAATCTTTAAGGATAATGACAAAAGGGAAAAATACCAAATGAAAGTAATTCTAAACTAAAGATTCAAAAAGAACCAAAGCAGAAGAAGTTGAAGCAATAAAAGCACGGGACAATAATTACGCTTTCATTATTTTCAGTAAAATTTGCAGATTAAGATTAGGATGTATATTTTCATCGCAATTTTCGCTACACTCGCCGCCTAATCTTTCTGAAACCAGCCTGGAAATCTGAAGCTCCTGCTGATTTACTAATGGATAATTTTTTTCTAAAGTTCAAGAATGAACATTCTCTTTATTTTTGAGTCTTAAATGGAGCAATTTGGCAAATCTGATTTTAATTTGTAGTCTTCGGAAAACTTTACGTCGCTTCTGGAACTTGCTGAATGAATTGAAACTAAATGTTTCACGCAAAACTTGCAATACTTCTGAAGAATGATTCATTATTTATAGTTGAGTCTACAAGCTTTTCATTGTTTCTCGGTACTTTTATAGATAGATTAACTCTGTCTAAATATCTTAATAGTTAAATAACTCGTAAGAATTCATTTGAAGTTACGTATTCTTCCGAAAATATATAGTTGATAAAAATAAAGAGAAAAAAGTGGCTTAAAGAAACATAATTATCACGCAATTGAAGTTCAAAATGCGGAAGGGGATAAGAGTTAAAAGCTATACGAAATCCAAATAGAACTATTTGCGCAGCGGTTAAAAGGAGAAAGAGCTGGATGAGCTTGGAATGTCCTAAAAATGAAGGAACACAGGAGATTATGGAATGAAAGACAAAAAAACAACAAATCCGAATCATAAGCGATCTGCTCAGTAAAAACATGAAGAAACTAGACAAAATGGGCTAGAAGCCTAAAAGAATCTCGGTTTATATGCGAAACCTTTAAAGTTCATACTAAAGTAAAAGACAGAACTGACACAAGAGGCGCCGAAGCTAATCTTGCTTTAAAGGACAGAAAGTAAACCTAATGGATGGAAGGAATAGAAAACTAACGGAAAAATCTGTCTTACCTAACAAATTGAACTTAATGTAGAAAATAAAAGCAAATGCTTAGACTTGATAACAACAATAAAATAAGGAAATGAGGAAAGGGAGCTTTTAGATCCACAACTGCCACCCAGACTTGCAACTCGCTGACGAAAAAGGCGCAATCAGAACGTTGTAGAAATTTTTTTCTAAAGAAACATTTGGACTAAAATTAGAGTTTAAAGCCATGAAGATTTTGCAAAAACATTTTGGCCAAGAATAACGCAATTTAAAACTCGTCCCAACAGTCGATATTTTGCAAAATGGTTTATTTGTTCGTGAAGAAACCGCCTCACAATGTTGTCAAAAGAATTTAATTTTTAATTATTATTATTAATATAAAAGTGTGGTCAATTAAATGCCACCCGAACTGAACTCTGAAAGTTCTGTTGGGCTGTTGCAATCTTCAATAAATCCTTAACGCCAATTACTTTTGCGTCAGTTAATTATGAATACCTTGCAAACACTGTCTGTAATGGCATATCGACCAGTTTCTCTTAGCAAGGAAGGCTAATTCAATAACGTTTTAACTGCCCACGTTTAATAAAGTCCGCGCTTTCCGTCTACCTATTTAGAAAATTGTCTCAATTATGTTCTTGAAACTGAAGAACTATTCTTATTTACTTTTCTTTAGCTTTAAATTGTCCGGCCAAATCCTTAACTTTAATCTTGTTCGACCCACTTGCTAATTGAATTAAAGTGCCATTTTGCATCGATGAACATTTCCCGCATTGTTATGGCGTATCTCGAAAAAATCTTACCCAATAATGCAATCTATTCACATGTGACACTTGGTTAACTCCGAACAATCAAATTTTTCGAATGAAAGTTACCCATACAGGAACTAGACTGCCTAATTTGCTTTCCTATGGAAGAAAAATAGCACTTTGAATGGACAGATTAGGAAAAAGGCGTGTATTCAACTAAGTTAACAATGGAATTTAGACTAGACATTGAAATTCAATGGGCCATAGTTTGATGTGCGAAGCACCGACATTTTTATCTTTGCCATGCTAATAATTCCTCGTATTGTATGGGAGGAGTAATTGTAGGGAATTGAGAGCCGAAAAATAAGTCTAAGAACTGGCAATTTGAAACATTGGAAGCACTTGACGGCGTTACATCTTGATCATTTTTTTCCACATTTAGCTGGGAAAAAACACAATAGAGATTTGATTGAAGTGGTGATTTTATCGGTCCCATGCAATTACGAAAACGGAAATCTTCGGTTCCGTATTAAGACTTCTGACTTGCTGACTTCTCTGCTCTGGTTGCAATAATTCTGCTTTTTGCGTTGGCAAATAACAAAGACCATAACTTTTCGTTTACTGCCCAAGCGGATAGGTTGTGAAATTTGCATATTACAGGAAACACTGCAAAATGCCAATTTAATAAATCTAATGGTTTGAATTCGCATTTAAAAGTAAATAATCAGTTTACGTAATGATTTTCTTCTAAAAGCATTTATTTTGCTGTGTGTTTATTTATATGCGCAAC